TGTTTATCACGATCATCATTGTCTCATGTTCATCACTATTATAACTAGAGATAGCTTACAAAGCTCCTGAATTTTATAATAAAGATCAAGTGGCCATCATAGTTGTTTTGTTTCCATTCTTTAGGACTTTCCTATTTATTTTATTGTAGTTTATTTTAATAGGCTCGGTCAGCTATTAGGGCCCAAGGTAAGAGACAAGTGAAACCTTTTTTTCTCGTCTTCTTACTTCGTTGCAGGTATCCCTTATGTTACTCTTTCTGCTCAAAAGTGTCTCAACCTTCGTACCGGCTCAGCAAATGTCCTCTCGCATCGTCAACAACTCCCACTCGCTATTGTTGACAAAATTCATACAATCGATGCAACACTGATTCAAAGTGGTCGTCCCACCTATCAAGTGCTTCATAAACGCGATCTTGCTAGCTGAATCGTTCCCCTGAATGGATTGAGAGTGAAACCGTTTGTCGCGGTTGTCCATTGACATCATTTGATTTGTTGTGCCATTGTTTTTAAGAATGACTATGATACCACTTGTAATGATCTTAGATCTTTTCGGCGAATTAGATGAACAAACACTGGAATTGAGAGGAGAATTAGGGAAGAGTAAGAAGGAAGAAGAATACAGAGAAGGGAGGAAGAAGAAGGGATGAAGAAGAAGGTAAAAGCAGAGCAGAGAATGAGAGAAATAAAGAATTTGGGGAAAGTAGTTCTGTTCTTTCTTATTCGATAACTCTCTTCGTATAGTACAAAGAGAGTTATCTGAGGACCAGTGATAGTACCGGAAAATAGACTAAGTCCTTGTTCGCTTTTTACAAAATCTTTATCTTATAATTTTACTTAGTCTTTGTTTTGTAAAATATTAATTTGATCTCTCCATCTAATAAATACTACTAGAATTTCCTCTCTCGTGTTTATCACAATCATCATTGTCTCGTGTTCATCACTATTATAACTAGAGATCGTTTACAAAGCTCCTGAATTTCATAATAAAGATCAAGTGGGCATCATAGTTGTTTTGTTTCAATTTTGTAGGGCTTTCCAATTCATTTTATTTCAGTTTATTCTGATAGGCTCAATAAGCTATTATGGCCCAAGTCTTAGAGTTAGCAGAAGGTAAGAGACAAGTGAAACCTTGTTTCTCATCTTCTTAATTCGCGAATAAGTTAGAATAGTGACCTGTAAACATTCAGGAAGGGATAAAGAGGTGGTGTCCTTGTCCCTAGACTGCAACTGTTCCAGTACTTACTCAGTTCCGCAACTGAATAATTTCATTACCGCCTTATGTAAAAATGGAGTCAATTTAAGTTCCAGCATCTTCCAATAATAGTCTGAATTCAAAATCATATGACACCACGTCTAAACAATAACTTTCACCTAATCAGCCATACAAATTGGATACCTCTAGCTTCAATGAACGCTACTTGTAAAGAAGCATAGGATACTAACAACAGATCAATTATGCCAAAAGAAAAGTTTAGCAGAACCCATCATAATCCATTTATTTTCATTTCTTCCTTCCACAAACTAATCAGTGCCACTACACCTGGTCTTAAGCAAACTTCCATCGATTAAAGGGTGAAAAGTGAAGAACAACACCAAACACTGGAGAGATTGGATAAAAAGGTTTATTCCTAACAACCTTTATAATCCTTGAAACAGAGGAAATTTGGATGAGATGATGTTCTTTCCTCAGACAATTAGAGTGATTGCCAGGTTCTGCACTTCAATAGCAATTTTTATTCTGGGGTTAAAAATAAGAGTGCTTTGAAAATATCGATTTACGATTGAGAAGGGATACAATTACTTCAAGAAATTAGCAGATGCTGAAGTGATGCCTTCGATTTCCCCCTTCTTTGAACATTTGAAAGTGAAAATTCCCAGCAGTGGTACCTTCTCTTCCCCTCATCTGAGGCCGCTTAAGAAAAAATTTGCGACCAAATCAACGACACTAGCGAAAACTCAGAGAAAATGTGAGAATAACGATTAAGAAAAGCTTTGCGGCCAAATCAACGGCAATGTGGTGAAAAGAATGTTGAGAATAATTATGTGTAGGAATTAGGATAAAGTTGAAAAGAAACCTTAGCGCCCACATGTCTGGGTTTCGATATGAATAGGAAAGCCACATTCCCGCTTGAAGAGATGAAGGGATTCCAGAAACAACCGGTATAGAGAGATCCCAAGTCCGAGTGCCCCTGTGAGAGAAGAGCTAGATCTCTTTCCAACCACATCTCCCCCGACCTCTGCTTCGTATTTTGGTTTGCGGACATGAATAGAGAGAAATAAGGATGGTCGCAGACACCACCACATCTCTGCGTGGCCTCTGCTTCTTTGGAGAGGAAGGGTTTTCACAGAGGAGAATGTAAATAGAAACCCTTCTTCTCCCAACATCGGTCGTCTACGCGTTCCTCTTCCTCATGACAGTTCCTCTTCCTTGTCCGGTGAAGCGTATATACCTCTCTCCAACATCAAAGCCATGGAATCAAGGAAAAATCGTTCGAGTTCAAATATGTCGGGAAGGAGGGCTCGTCTCCCACCGACGTGCCGTTCAGCGAGTTGAGGGCGGTGAAGAGAGGGAAAATCGAGTGTCATTTGTCGGTGCCCGCTTTGTGGGTTCGGAGATGTGGTATCTGTCGTCGCTCAGTGGGTTCAGCGATGTGAAATCTGTTGTTGCATCGAGCAGGAAAGAAGTTTTGGAGGAAGCCGTTCTGTGATCTTGGGAGGTGAGAGAAATATTGCATCAAGAAGCGTTTTTTTTTTAAGGGGGGCACCGATCACGTGTTATTGTTTTTTTTTCTAAGCTCAGCATCTTGCAAAGTAAAAATAACATCAACGGCCATGCTTGGCCTGTCAATATAATTACACATGTGCTAACGTAGATAGGACCGCAGACAATCGCCAAGCCACCCCGTGAACAGTGTTGCTTTTGACTTAATAATTCTAATGTATATAAGAAATTTGGTGTAGTTTACATTTTTTGATTTTTATGATAATTATTGTAGTACTTAAATAAGTTATATTTCTTTTTGGGTGAAATGTCACTTTTACCCTTTGTTTTTTTATATAAGTAAGTAACACACATAAAAACATAAGGACATAGTTGAAAGAAAAAAAGACTCAAGAATCTCAATCAAACAATCTCAACAATCGCACAAAAAACTTGAGATTTAACTATCACTCATTTTGAGTGATAGTTTGAGTCATATCAAACAAACAATGCATGTATTGTTTGTGCAGAAAATTCAAAAAAAAAAACAATACATTGTGGACAACACATGCATTGTAACTATCTCAACCTAACAATCACCAAACCAAACGACCCCAAGTAATAAAAGCAACGCACAATCATTAACTAATTATTCTTCACTTGATGATGGTGATCAGTAAGAACCCATCTTTCAATAGAACATGATGATGATCTTCTTCCTCCTACACAAACAAACAATGGATTCATAATTGATCAAGGAGGCGTTTGCTAGATGGCTAGGTTTCGCAGTTACCTGATGAGGGTGGAGGAGGGTAACGTTTAGTGGGTTTCTTCAAGGGCTGATTTGGCATCAGACCAAAGTGAATGTGGTGGAAGTGAGCCCACTAAAGCACAACAATGTCCAAAAAGACTACTCAGAATACATACATACAAAACAACCCACAACCACAATAAATATGTATCTATTAATATATAGAAAAAAGTAACCCTAGCCATTTGATAAAATTATTATGTAATTATTTGCAGCACTAAAAAGCTTCTCTGTGGGTGATATTAGGTAGGAGTGCTATTTGGTTCTAGCTTTTTGGTTTACTCAAAACCGAACCGAGATCGGAATAGGATCGGATAGCAAACAAACTAATCTCATCTTCAGAATTAGATTTGAGGTAAAAAATTGTTCTGGACCGGACTGAAAATCATATAAAGACTAGATAAGAGAGTCCAACCCAAAACTTAACCAACTCCTCATCATTTGAGGCCTCAGGCCACTCAAATCTCTACAAGGTCAATCTAAAATCAAGACCGAATCGGATCAAGACCGTACCAAAATCAAGACCAGACCGTATCCAATCTAATATTTGATTCTTATATTAAAAAAAAAAAAAAACGAACTGAAACTGGATCAATTCAAACCAATTTAACCATACCGCCTGTATAACCACTCCTAATATCAGGCAGGGTTCTCTGCCTTGATCCGCTGGATCTCCTCCCTACATTCATTCACAAAAAAAATGAATTCCACACCCACCCTCGCGCCACATTAACTTTTTACTCATTGTAGCTCTTGATATGTGGAAAGTAGAAATTAAATAAAATTTCGTTTTTTTTTGCTACTAATTTGTCGTTTCTTTTGTGTTGTGATGCTGCTGGTTGCCACTGTCACTTTACTCTCTCTTCCCAAAAGATTCGGAATTTTTACATATCTAAGGCTACAATATTTGCGCGAGCTGAAATGGAGTATAAATAAACCTCGACGGAACAGTACAATCATTTGCTACTTGATGGCGTTCTTTCCTTTTCCCCCGGCCGGCCAGCCGGGCGACCAACCAAAACGATAACCAACTAATTATTAAGTAATCTATATATATATGTAAGCTTTATTATAAAAACTGCAGCTGCTGATTCAATCAATAAGAATTTGGGGCACAGATCCAATATAATTGGTGTGCGATTTCTGAGCAGCTTTTTTTTTTTTTTACCAGTAGTTGCAGCAGCCGCTTCATGCTAAAAAAAGTGCTACTTCGATTCAACTAGCTAGCTAGGGTTCTTTTGGTAAAATTTATTGCTGCAACCAGCTAGCTGTAAACCAAGTTTTGGTTCTTAATAAACCTTCCTTTTTTTTTTCTTCTCCCTTTTTCGATAGAGAGAGAGAGAGAGAGAGAGAGAGAGAGAGAGGTGAATCATGAATGTTAGGTGCATGAATATTCCTCCTCCTCCTCGAGCTGAAGTGAAGCCCAAGTAGTCATTATTGTTGACGGGGAAATTCAGCAACAAGTTTGCTGGCGGCGGTGGAGGAGTGGCGGCAGCAGCAGTGCTGTTTGGATCTCATCCTGGAAAAGATGAAAATCCAAAATTTTGAATGGGGAGATGAAAACTATATATACAAAGAAAAGAAAGGGAAGCCAACTACTGTTCAGAAGGCTTGACCAGTAGAGATCGGCCACTAGAAAGCTAGCCCTATAGTTTAGGTACGAAGAGGAGCTTGTTATTGTTGTGAGAGGGGAAGCAGTAGTAGTAGTAGTAGGGGAGAAGAAGGGGCGAGGAAAGTTGAAGGGAGCGGGGGACAAAGTCGACATTGACATCTGATGTGTGTTGTGTTATACGTGTTTTCTTGGTGGTCGGTTAGTTTGGCTGACCGCTTTCTTCTCTATTATATTGATTCTGATGATGATGGTATCTCCTGAATTAAAAGTACAGTTGATTGGATAGTGATGATCACCTTTTGATTGACTGATGTTTTGTTACACAGGTAGAAAGATGTTTAACTTATAACCGCACAAGCCCACTGCCTTCTTGGATAGTGATGATCACCTACTATAGTGACACATGTTTTTATATGGCCCAAAACTTCTCCTCTCCTCTCCTCTATATATAGATGAGCATCTAATAGTTTGTATTGGCCCTAATTTTTTGGAGTAAAATTTGATTTTTCAAACTTCTTAATTTTTATAAGAGTGGCAAAGGTTTGGGTAGAATAAAATATCCATATATATATATATATATATATATATATGTATGTATTAATTAAGAATTTCACTCATCATCTTTAACTAATATAAAAATATTTTATCACTACACTACAAGTTATTTCAAGTTTAAAAACTAACATAAACTAATCCATCACTATAAACAAAATTCACAATACTAAAAAGTCGATCTCTCTATCTTCTGTAGTTAGTTTTGACTCTACTCGTTGCAACTGCAAGTGTAAAAAGAACACTTACAGCTTTGAACCATATAAAAAACAAGTTTCAAAGTCGAATTGCGACCAATTTGCTAATGATTGCTTAGTCAGATACATGAGAATTTGAAAACATGTTGTGATTGCTTATGAAAATAATGATTGTGTTAGTCTAGTATTTCATTAATATCTTTCAATAAATTATTTGGATATTATTGGAGTGATGAATTGAGTCACCAACAGCAGCAGCTCATTCTTCATTGTCCATCCTACATCAAGCTGCTGCTGTGAAAGGCTTCCCACGAAGAGCAGAATGGAACCAAGGTGGAACGACGCCGTTCTTCTCCCATCCAGAAACAAGGATTGAAGTGAAACGTTGCCGTTCCGCTAAGTGAAGAGACGTGGAGCTCCAAGCCGCTGCGTTTTACTTAATTGTTGTTAGTAGTTAGTTAGCCAGCTGTACAGTTTCTATTCGTTAGTTTGAGTGTTTGTTTTTACTGTAGATTAGTCGTTGTTAATCTACTTTACCTTCTCTGTACAGCCTTGTATATATATGAAATGCAAAACCAAAGGAGCTCTCAGTTGAGAATCCTTCCACAAAACCCTATCTACTCATTTTCTTCTCATGGTATCAGAGCCTGGTTGCTCTATACCTTAGATCTCAACCCATTTTTCGATCCTAGCGATTTTGCCTCGCAATGTCCACTCCTCCTCCCGGCGCCGATGGCCATGTCTCTGATGGCTCTGAATCGTCTGAATCTGGAAACCCAGGGCAGACTTCCACCACTCCGCCACCGATTCCAGCACAGCCGCTTCAAACCCTACCACAGGTGCCGCCTCAGGTACCCAGATATGAGGATCCATACCTCAATCCTTACTACCTTCCTCCTCACGATGGAGGCTTGACCACCATCATCTCCATGAAGCTGACTGACCAGAACTACAACCTCTGGAGTCAGATGATGGAGCTTGCTCTCAGCACTAAAAACAAGCTTCAATTCGTCAATGGTATGATCCCTGTTCCTCAACCCACTGATCCCATTTGGCAATCCTGGCACCGCTGTGACAGTACAGTGCGATGCTGGATATACAACTCTCTTTCTGATGATATTGCGAATAGTGTGGTTCCCTTTCGTGTTGCCAAAGAAGTCTGGGACAATCTGCGAGACAGATTTAGTCAAGAAGACTATATTAGGGTGTATGAGCTCAAAGAGCAGGTTTCTAAACTCGTTCAAGGAGATCTGACTGTTTCTCAGTATTACACAGCCCTTACCACAAAGTGGCAAGAATATAAGATGTATAGACCTCTCACCTGCTGCCCTTGCCCTAATAGTCCATACCACACTATGACCAGATATCAGGAAGAAGATTTTATCATCAAATTCATGCAGGGGTTGAATGACACTTACCAATCTGCTCGAACCCAGGTGCTTATGAGTACCCATTTGCCCAGTATTGAGTCTGTTTTTAAACAGATGGTCCAACTTGAGCGTCAGCTCAAGGGTTCTGCTACTAAGCCTGGAGTGAATTCCTTGGCATTGTTGGCTCAAGGGTCCTCCTCCTCTGGTCGACCCAACACTGCTGCAAGAAATCCTCGTGATTATACACTACAACAAATTCGGCCTATTAGGACAAATTTTTTGTTTTGTCATTTTTTGTTTGTCACAATAGGTACGGTGATATGACAAAAATAATATATGTCCTATTTGGTATACCTAATGTGACAAAAAACTATTTGTCAGAATGAGTCATCATTTAAAATGAGTAATGTGACAAATATTTCGTGTCACGATTAATTTTGTCAAAATAGACGTCCCATATAGGGATGTAAGAGACTCAACAATGACAAATTTCTTTGTTGTCAGAATAGTTCTTCATTTAAAGTGAGGAATGTGACAAATATTCTGTGTCACAATTAAGTTTGTCAAAATAGTGATCCCATATCGGGGTGTAAGAGACACAAAAGTGACAAATTATATTGTCAGAGTAGCTTTTTTTTTTTTTTTCCAAGGCAAGCCCAAAGGGCATGGGACAAAGACTCGACTCAGATACAAGGAGAACTCCAAAAAACGACGGTAATCCGTAAGCAAGCGGATTCCCGATGAAAGAGCCTGATAAGCCACTACATGGGCAGCTCTGTTAACGCTCCGAGGAGCAAAAGACACGACACTGACTCAAAGAAGAGAAAAAGAGGAGATCTTCCTCCAAGGTCCCCGCTCGACTGTGAGAAGCTTTCTTCGAAGAAATATGCCGGATGATCAAATTTGAGTCGCCAAATGTTGGCACCCATTTTCGTCCGGTTTTTTTTCAAACTAAATAATTTCGTTTGGAATGAAGTTTTCGACGAATATTTCAAATTTCAATAGAAAAATTAAAATACAAGAAGTTCTCATACGCATTCGACTTTAATTCGAGTTTGATAAGTGTTCATTACATATTTGGGCTCGAAGACCAGTCTAACCAAATTCGAGTTTGATAAGTCATACAAAAAGGAGGGCTCAACCTATTACACAATAATCAGCACTGTGAACCGGGTCGGATCTGGTCTAAAACCGAACCAGTTTGCCCCGACCCCATCTGCTTCTCCTCTGCGCCTCCATGACCCCATTTGATGCCTGCAAAAAAAACCAGAAGATAGAGTAGACCTCCATGATATGTGAGCTGTGATGAGGCAGGGATATAATGGAGGAAGAGAAAACGGATCTGGGAAATTGATTGAAGGATTGGGTTTTAGGTTAGGTGGTTGAGGTTCTGATGTGTATAAGAAGAGGAGGAAGCCATCGATGATGAGGGGGGAGAGTTTTGTTCAATCTCTTTTCCAATTTCAACTCCACTCCAGTGCCAGCAGAGAAATCAATCCCTGCCATCGTTTTCATTCCACCACAGAGAAATAAACATAATCCATATAGGCATCCTCCAAACCACACAATCATATCCCCTACAAACTTCATTCTCCATTTACGAAAACCAAACACAAAAATACCATTCTGCCGGAATACCGCAACCGTTCACCTCCGCCGTCATCATCGGACCTCGACACCTTCACCATCGTCGATATTTGCCATCCTTACCGTCGCCGATCCGTGTCGCCGCCAAAGAAGGACGAGAAGGAGAGGGTCGCAGCTTTTGACGGAAGAAAGAGAAAGGGAAAATAAAATTTGGTCCGGAGCTTATCTCTGCGTCGGCCACAGGTAAGGATTCTTTGATCTCTTAATTTGTAATTTAAACAATAACCCTGTGGCCCTAGCCTATTTACAAGAATACCGTAAGAAAATTATATGTTAAGTCCCCCAATTTTAAAGTAACATGAAATAGCCATCCATTTTCTTGAAATCAGACAAAAAATAAAACCAAGCTAAGCGACACCACACCATGCCTTATCTTGTTACATAATTGTTGTCCAATATATTTAATCCATATGTGTTAACTAATTTTCGTCATAAGTTTCATCTCTATCTCAACTAAACATCATCAACGAATTACACCTAATTGATTAATATATCCTTTTAGTTAAATTAGAAATATCTTAGTAATAGCTAATTTGAAAATTAGGAACGGATGCGTTCCTCTTTTTAATGGTATCCTATTACAATTCATCAAAATTAATGTATAATCGAACTACGCGGACTTTGATCCCGAGATGTCGGGTACGTAGGCGACCTAAAAGGTTCAAGTCCACACAACTCCTAAAATATTATTTTATCAAATTATACGATCAAGTCATTACCGATGGGTACATGATCAACTTATCACATAACCTCTTTTAAACAAATTACGATCGATGGATCGTGCTCAAATCAATAAACTATTACGTGCCGATGGGTACGTGATCAATATTCATTTAATTTATCTCAAACAAATTACGATCGATGGATCGTCATCAAATTAAGCAACTACTACGTACCGATGGGAACGTAAGCTAATGTTTTAAAACAAGTAAACGCCGGGCGAACTACGAGGGCTTTGATCCCGAGATGTCGGGTACGTAGGCAGCCTACGGGTCCAAGTCCACTAATAAATAAAAACCTTTTCCCCTAAAATTACCAAAAATATATACTAATTCTTCCAATTCAATTACATGTTGATGAACATGTAATTAACTTAAAAATGACATCACATATTCGATGAAAAATCCAAATAATTTCAAACAAGCAAATATCAATTAAGAAGACAGATCAAACTTATAGTACCGACTTAGGGCGATGTAAGGGTGCTAATACCTTCCTTACTCGTAACCGACCCCCGAACCCATAAATCTATTTCGCAGACCGAGCCGAGCCTAAATCTTAACCGATTTATGCCTGACTTACCAAGTGTCCAATCCACTTTGAGAGATTGGTGGCGACTCCTCTTTTTGGCGCCGAGTCGCGGACGGACCGTTTGCGACACCAAAAAGAGGAAAAAAAAACAACAATAAAAAAGGATGTATTAGTCACCATCTCCTTACGTCACATGAAGAAAGGAGTACTATAATGTAATTATAAATGGTTTCATAAAATTGAGAGAAAACAAAGAGTGCCAATAAAATTTTATTCGAGGCAAATATATTAAAAAACATCACCTGATAGACTGACGAAAATGGTTGCCCTCCTTGATTTTTCTTCTTATCACTCATATTCCTGCAGAGTGGCCAACCAAAAAGGCACCCAATATGGAGCTAGAAATCTCTATCTCGAGAGATTAAAGTCTACCTTTGAGACAAAGTCGGAGTTACCGAAAACACCACACTAATGATGTGGTTCATCTCTTTAGAATAAATTAATACGTAAAACAAATTACTAAAATTAACGAAAGTAATGAAATTACTCAAGGGAAAAACATATTTGAGACAAAGACAAAGTTACTGAATGTCTGAATACACCACTCAACTAACATTAATACAAATAAAATTGTAAAAATCAAACATAATTCAGCAATAATGAATTAATTAACAATTAATGGAAAGGAACTAACAAAAAATTCAAAACAGGGAATTGATTTGATTTTCTTATTAGGTTACGAAAAGATTAATACGATGGCCAATAAACTGAAGCAGAAAATTAAAAGAATGAAACCGGCAGCACATTTAAAGCCAGAAAAGGAAAGGCTAAATGGCTGAAGGGGCACATTAAACAGCATTAAAATGGATTTGAAATTGAAGGGAAAAAAAAATTAATTAAAATACCATAATATCGTCATTCTTCAATCATGGTACTGACCCGGCGAAATTAAAGGCAAGCTCAGCGGCGTGATTTCCGCTTTTCGAATCGCTCATCGAAGACTGTCGCGGCCGATTACAGAGAATGCACCGATCACCGTGGTTCTCATGAATGTCGCCGGAGGATTCTTTTGGATTCAGAATTCCGCCTCACCGGAGGAAGTCTTGTTGCCGAGAAGGAGTAGTTTTGGTCTTTTGGATAACCTCGCAATAGTTGGGCTTGTCTAGCTCCGAGCCTCGTCTCGTCGCCCTCGCAAAGCAAGCATAAAGCCGTCAGATCAGGAGTCCGAGGCAAGGATTGGAATAAGAATGGTACAAACAACATATATGAACACATGAATTAGAAATATAAGGGAATAGATAACCCCCTGTCGCCGGCGAAGCGGCGTCACCGTAGAAAACATGTGACGACATCAATCATTCAATCAAGTGACTGTAAGACGCAGGAGAGTCATCCCTGGCAGCGACGTTTGGTAGAGGAGTCCCCGCCATGGAAGCCGACGTTTGATCTCGATTGGGACTTCCGTTTGAAAGCAGGTGGCGGTTCATGAGACTCGGACGACAACCGTTCCGTCTCCGTCCTCGCAAAGCAAGCATAATATGAAAGATCGTTGGAGGATCCCTTTTTGTGATATAATCTCACTCGGCGAGCCGTTGTCCTTCTCTCTTCCCCCTCACCCAACTGAACTGATCTTCCTTTTTTAGCTCTACTCTACCATTTGCTTAATCAATTCAATTACCTCCTCTCTCTCTCTCTCTCTCTCCCTCTCTCCAAATTAAACCGAATTCCAAATTTCCGGCGATGTCCTCCGCCGCAGGAAAACCAACGGTCCACCACAACAGCAAGGTCAAGCAGGGGAATCCAAATCCAAACACTGCTACAACAACCAAGAAGAATACGCTTTTACGCTTTGATTCTACGCTTTATGATTTTACCCCTTTTTCGCTTCTAGGTAGAATCGCGCTTTTGACTGCATTGTTCATCCCTAGTTTTTGTCATATTATGTCTTCCTGAAATGTTTAAATAACAAAGTATTTTGTCACAATAGATAATATTTAATCCCATGGCGAGCTGACAAAAGAGCATGTTCGTCATAATATAGTGGTTTCGACTTTGACAAAAGGCATGTTCGTCATAATATAGTGGTTTAAATTTTTGACAAAAAGACATTTTTATCAGATTTGCTTGTGTTAATTGGACTTAGATAATCAGAACGTGAAGCAGGAGCGAGAACGTCAGAGCGTCGATTTTACAAGAATTTAATATTAAAAGTATGAACAAAGCGTCAATAAATTGTTATTTTAATTATTATTTTCGCAAATTTTAAATAAAATATGAACAATATTATCACAATTAACTCAAACTAATTAAAACTTACGAGATTTGGGCATATCCACTTTAAAGTAAACCTTCGTGTTCTGTTTACACCAAGGTCAATTTATTGCATTATTCATTCTCATTTCCCATTTCCCATTTCCCATAAACTTATTATTATATTCACCACAGAAAAACCTATACCGCTAGTCCACTATCATATTAATAGTATTAGTATAATAATATAATGATGACAAATTACATAAATTGTAATCGTTTCTCTTTAATTTTTAAAAGGTCTTCGCATCCCATGTCTTGGACCTTGGGTATCGCCGCAACCATCCATCCTCTTAACCCTAGCCGCCTAAGCTTCTTCCTCCCTCTCCTGTTTTCTCTCAAAGACATGAGAACAACTCTTTTCTTATTCTGAAAATGGCGACCAAAAGTGCAATGGAAGATCACATCCCATCTTTCTTTCCCTCAACATTCTCTTATTTTATTTTTCATGATCTGGTTCTCTCCTTTCCGATTTGGCTCCCGTGAATCTCTTCTCCGTGGGAATGAAACCAATCATTCTTTCCCTCTCAATCCTCTCGGCCGACAAATTAAAACCCGGAATGAGGGCGGCGGCGACGATGGAATCGTGGGTTCGGGTAAGTTTCTTTTACATGCACGCTTTTTGTTTGATTTCGGGTTCTGATTGAAATCATTTTCTGAGTTTTTTTAAGGATATGATTACGGAGGAAAGGACAGAAGAAGTCGACAGTGGCGACGGAAAAAGGGGAAGAACAATGAAATATGACGATGTCGCGGGCAACCGACGAAACCCTTCTGGTGAGGTTCCGATTTCTCCTTTTAATTTGTTTTTTCTAGTTTCCAATGATTTTATGACCACTTATTTTTTTGTTTTGATTTGAATTCCGACTGGGGTTTTCAGGTGAGAAGAGAAAGAAAATGAAAAGAATGAACTGCCACCGGCAGTCCTAGGTACGCCGCCGACAATGACGACGTGGACAATGAGATTTTTTGGTAAGATGTGGTAGTTAGTTCTAATTCTGAAAATGGGCAGTGTGTGATTTATGATGGATTTGAATCAAGGAACCGGTGAGTGTTTATGATGGTGAATTAGTGGTCTTTGGTTATGGAAAATTTCATGGAAATTAACTTGTAGTAATGGTGTTTAGCTCTTGTAAGTTGTATGTTGCTATGGTTTCCTGATTTTTGTTTAAAAGAGAAGGGTGGTTTAGATATGAATCTACGTTTTGTTTGTGGGTTACTTGTTCGTTTGAGATATGAATGAATCTGGAAATTTTTGTATGGGGAAGTTCTGTTTGAGGGTGATGGTATGTGGGCTAGTGTTTTTTAGTCTAAAGAGTGTATAGATTAGATGGGGTGCCTTTAAACCATTGCAAAACAGTGCTTTTTTTTTTTTGTGTTTGAGAAAGTGGAAGTGAGTGAAGCTTTGTAGAATTTTGCTGCTGTGCTTTTTTATCAGAAATGAAGGAAGTCGAGAAGAGTTTTGTTGCCTGTCTATTGAGGGGGAAAGGGGGGAGGGGGAAAGGAAGTCTCTGTTTTGCAGAATTTCGTTGTCTGTGTCAGAAAAGAAGAAGAAGAAAGTCCTCGAGAAGGGGAAGAGAAGAAGAAATGGCGAGAGTCCACCCTAAAAATTAGTGCCCCAACCCTCTTTTTGTGGAGGGAAGATATTGTTTAGCGGTTTGTGATTGGTTAGAATGGTTTGTGTCATGGTGAACAAGGTGTAATGTTTTGTGTCATGATGAACAACTTAGAATGTTTGGTTATGTTGAACAAGGAGTTAGAATGCTATGGAAATGGTTGTAATGTTTTGGATTTTTGGCAATCTTTCCATTGTCAGGTTGCAATGTAAACAATTTTGAATTTTTTTTAGCAGGTCAAAAGTGACAACAATGTCATGTCGTCACATATGTAAATTGTTTGTCAAAATAAGCAAATTATGACATAATTAATGACAAAAAATGTTGACATAACATCTCCATTTGTCACATCATACACATTGCCTGACAAAAATAACTCTTGTCATATTAGACATGAGACAAATAAGGCACCTTTCCTGACAAATATATCCGTCGATATATGCAGGTATGACAAAACAATATCGTCACAATAAACACTTGTGACAAAATGTAGTCGTCACAATATGTAGTCATGACAAAATATAATCGCGTAATATGGCGAACAATTGTCCCAAAATCACCAGATTATGACAATTGTAATGACAAAATACGTTGTCATAAAATCTATGTTTGTCACAATATACTACCCAGAACCTCAGCTATACTGAAAGCAAATGTGACAACTTTGTTTTAAATATTTGTCACATTTGACCTATCCTGACGGCGATAAAATGACAAACCTTTGTGACAACACCCTTTGTCATATTATACCTAATATGACAAAATGGGTATCTAATATGACGAATTTCCCTCGTCATAATAGGCCGAATTTGTTGTAGTGATACCACTGAAGGGAGGAACTGGTGTCGTTACTGCAAAAAGGAGAACCACACCATCCAGGAATGTTATAGGTTGAAGAACAAGAAATCAAGAGAGGGTGCTGATGGTACTCCCTTTGCTGGTGCTGTTGATGTTTCTGGTTCTGATGGGAGTAGCAATACTAGCTCTGCAGCAACAGGGTCAGAACCATCCTTGAGTTCTCTGTTTACTCCTGACCAGTTTGAGAAGCTCAGGACTCTTCTGAATGGGTCTCCTTCTCCATCGCCTTCACCTCCCAGCTCACCCAGCCTGCCTAATGTCAATGCAGTGATCAGGGCACCACCTCAAACACCTCATTTTGCAGCCAGCACTTCATGTACCACTTCCTTGTCACCAACCTTGAATGAAACAGTCTGGGTGCTAGATACAGGTGCCATAGACCACATAATCTGTAACCTGTCTACCTTCATTAAGTACAAACCTATGGAAGGTATTAATGTGTCTCTACCTAATGGACACCATGTGAAAGCCACTCATATAGGCATAGTCAGGTTACCTTGTGGATTGTTCCTTACCCAAGTCCTCTTTATTCCTTCTTTTACTTACAACCTTGTTTCTGTAAGTAAGTTAACCAAAAATCACCCTGTCTCACTAGTCTTCCAATCCAATTTCTGTACTATCCAGGACCTTATTACTCGGAGGAAGATTGGTTTAGCCCAAGTTGATAAAGGCCTCTACCTCTTTTCTGATTCCAAGCTTCAAGAGTTCCATCCTCCAGTTCCTTCTTCCAGTTTTGCAGCAGGAGTTTCCAGTTCCAAGCCTTCTACTTCTGATATTTGGCATGCCAGATTAGGCCATCCCTCTTTGTCTAGGATGCAAATTATCAAACATGTTTGTAATGATGTTGTTCTTCCTTATTCCAAACATTGTGAGACTTGTCACTTGTCCAAACAAAAACGACTCCCATTTCCAAACAGCACTTCTGTTAGCTCAGATGCTTTTTCTTTGCTTCATGTTGATATCTGGGGGCCCTTGAATACCCTGTCTAGGGAAGGGTACTCCTATTTTCTCACCATTGTTGACGACCACACCAGAGCTGTTTGGGTGTTCTTAATGAAATCAAAATCTGAAGCCAACCCTCTTTTGCAATCATTCTGCATAATGGTTAAGAACCAATTTTCTCAACCCATCAAAACCATTCGCACTGATCAGGGTCAGGAATTTCACATGGCTGAGTTTTATCGCAGTCATGGCATCATTCATGAGATGAGCTGTGTTTATACAGCCCAGCAAAATGGGCGCGTTGAGCGCAAGCATCAGCATTTGCTCAACGTGGCTCGCTCCCTTAAATTTCAATCAGGACTTCCCCTTTCCTTTTGGGGTGATTTTGTCTTGCAAGCAGCCTATCTCATCAATCGAACACCAACACCTATTCTTAACCACAAATCACCATATGAAATGCTTTACCATGTTCCTCCTGATTACATGAGCCTTCGTGTTTTTGGTTGCTTGGCTTATGCCACAGCTGTTGGAGGCCACAAGACTAAATTTGCACCTCGTGCCAGGAAATGCATTTTCCTTGGCATTCCTACTGGTATAAAAGGCTTCAAACTTCTTGACCTTGACTCTGATCAAGTCTTTATCAGTAGAGATGTCCTCTTTCATGAAGACATTCTACCATTCAAACAAAACCAGCCTGCCACTCCTGCACATTTCTCCCCTGATCATTCTCCTTCCCCAGTTGTGGATGATGATGTTTTTCCCTTCTCATCCACTGACATTCCTACTACTTCTCCTCCTCCTGCTGCCAGTCACTGCCCTTCTGACTCTGACAGTGAGAATGATCAGTCTACTCCCTTACCTGGTCCATATCATCCCTCACCTCGTCCTTCCCATTCATCCCCCAGTCCTTACCATTCATCACCTAGCTCTTACCACACCTCACCTAGTCCATATCACTATCACTCTTCCTCTTCCTCCATTCCTTCTACCTCTGCCAAACCTGTAGTTCCCCCTAGGAAATCCACAAGGGTGCCTGTCTTTCCTAAGAAATATGATGACTTTTATGTTGGTTCAGTCCAAGTCAGTATGTCCCATCTCACTCCTCCTCAGCAACATTTTGCTCTCACTTTGCTTACCAATGAGGAGCCAGTGAGTTATGCTGAAGCTGCCAAAGATCCCAGATGGAATGCAGCCATGAATGAAGAGTTTAGTGCACTTCAAGCTAATGATACATGGGACATTACTGACTTGCCTGAGGGGGTTAAGCCAATTGGCTCCAAATGGGTATACAAAACAAAATATAAATCAGATGGAGCATTGGAAAGGTTTAAGGCAAGGGTAGTTGCTAAAGGTTATACCCAAATATATGGGATTGATTATTGTGACACCTACTCACCAGTGGCTAAGATTACTTCTGTTAAGATGTTGCTGGCTGTTGCTTCTGTTCAGAAATGGCATTTGCACCAAATGGACGTTAATAATGCATTTCTGAATGGAGAGCTTGATGAAGTAGTCTATATGGAATTGCCACCTGGATTAAAGGATTTACCTGAGTACAAAGGGAAGGTTTGCAGACTCAAAAAGTCTCTTTATGGGCTGAAACAAGCCAGTCGAATGTGGTATGCAAAATTAACTGAGTCTTTACTCAGTAATGGTTTCAAACAGTCTCTTGCAGACTATTCAATCTTCCTCTCTACTGTTCAGGGGCATCTGGTTGTTTTGATTGTTTATGTTGATGATATAGTGGTGGGCAGTGCTAGCCTTGATGCAGTGAAGGAGGTTAAAAGGATGCTGATGTCCTTGTTTAAAATGAAAGATCTGGGTGAATTACAGTACTTCCTTGGCCTGGAAGTTAGCAGAACATATAAGGGAATACATGTTTGTCAACGAAAATATTGCATTGAGCTTCTTAAGGAGGCTGGCTTTGATGAGTGTAAGCCAGCAAAGACCCCATCAAGTGTGAAACAAGTGCTTTCTGCATCAGATGGGGAACCTTACCTTGATATTCCCTTGTTTAAGCATCTGCTTGGACAACTTCAATACCTGAACAACACTAGACCAGACATAACCTTTGCTGTCCAACAGTTGTGTCAGTTTCAAGATGCTCCAACCACTGTGCACAACAAGGCATTACATAGGGTGTTCAGGTACCTCAAGAACTCACCAGGCCAGGGCTTATTTTACCCCAGTGACTCTTCTATGCAGTTAACTGGTTTCAGTGATTCAGACTGGGCAACTTGCCCGGATTCCAGGAGGTCTATCACAGGTTTTTGCACATTCCTTGGTAAAGGGTTGATCAGTTGGAAGAGTAAGAAACAGAGCACTGTGTCTAAATCGTCTTCTGAAGCAGAATACAGAGCTCTAGCCCACCTTAGTTGTGAAGTTCAGTGGCTAGTCAGATTACTTGCTGACTTTGGCATTGATCACCCTTCTCCTGTTATGGTATTCTGTGACAACCAATCCGCCATTCACATTGCAAGAAATCCTGTGTTTCATGAACGGACAAAACACATTGAAGTGGATTGTCACGTTATTAGGGAGAGATTGACCAGTGGATTGATTAGTTTACACCATTTGTCCACTGTTCATCAGCTTGCAGATTTGTTTACCAAAAGCTTGGGCATAGATCGTTTCAACCTTCTACTGTCCAAGCTGGGAGTTTCTGGAAGACCCTCGCCAGCTTGTGGGGGGGGGGGGGTATTGGAGTGATGAATTGAGTCACCAACAGCAGCAGCTCATTCTTCATTGTCCATCCTACATCAAGCTGCTGCTGTGAAAGGCTTCCCACGAAGAGCAGAATGGAACCAAGGTGGAACGACGCCGTTCTTCTCCCATCCAGAAACAAGGATTGAAGTGAAACGTTGCCGTTCCGCTAAGTGAAGAGACGTGGAGCTCCAAGCCGCTGCGTTTTACTTAATTGCTGTTAGTAGTTAGTTAGCCAGCTGTACAGTTTCTATTCGTTAGTTTGAGTGTTTGTTTTTACTGTAGATTAGCCGTTGTTAATCTACTTTACCTTCTCTGTACAGCCTTGTATATATATGAAATGCAAAACCAAAGGAGCTCTCAGTTGAGAATCCTTCCACAAAACCCTATCTACTCATTTTCTTCTCAGATATAATTAGTTTTAATATTATTTATTTATTACATATTTATATTATGAAAAGAGGACTAATACTTTCAAACTCTGGCTCCGCCACCGTGTCTGTGAGGGGGAAGGGTGGTTAAGGGAAGATGATTATGTATGTGGGTGGAAGGTGTGGCTGTGGGTCGGCAGCATTCCCAAAGCAAGAGGGAGAGAAGGGTTGCATTTGCATTTGCATGGTTGGCGGCAGAGATGATGAAGGTGGGTGGGAAAGGGACGTGTGCATGGCTTGATCGGGGCCTGTGGGTGGGCTACCACCTTTCCCTCACCTGTTCCTTTCACTACACTACCAGCTACGAGCAGCAGCAGCAGCAACAGGCTACTCAATTAACTCTCCATATATACGAACGACCGATCCATTGCAATTGCATAGTTACCCACTTCTTTCCTCTATCCTGCTTTCCATGTACATTTGTACTTGTCCGCATGGCCTCTTCTGGTCTCTTCTTTTAAGCGTAAAAACAGGTTTATGCAAACCCTAGACGATACCATTGTCAAATAACTTGTCATTGCTTTATAGACGGTTAATTATAGAAATTATATAGCTTCAGTCTTCTTATAAAGTATTCTATCCAGTGAAAAAAATGAAATCACAAAAGAGGTTGTTGAGTATTATATTGAGTAGTGTATGTATGGAGCACAAGACTTTATGAACAATTATGGGATAAATACAAGTACATAAGTGAACAATGCAAGGAAATAAATACACTTTAGGAGAACAATACGATCAACATTGATGAACGACTTGATGAACACTCACGAGATCAATAATAAATGATTGTCATGTTCAATATAGTGACAGGGTAACGATATGATTCACATTGATCAGAATGAATCATAACAATTGTTGTTATGACTGATATAGGATCAAACTAAAAAGTAGTTGACTACTTTTTATTTTCAACGCGCTGAACGGTGTCGGAGATGTTCCTAATTAAATTCTTGAATATTAGCTAGCTAGGTCATCTATTCACAGGTTAGGAAAGTGGTTTTATTTTGGAATGATATTTGGGATTCCTGTGAGTCTTTCCTGAGGGTGGAAGCTGCCTCAATCCTTTGATTTCTATAATTTTAACAAATTTGTGGTCGACAATATAGAAAATCATGGGCGGTGCCTTTGTCTTACAGTCTAACGAGTGGTGTTGAAGCAAAATGTGTTCGATTCTAGACTCTATTGGAGTCTTTTCCTCACGAGAGGTTTGGTTCTAGTCTGGCTAGACTGGTGTGGTCGCTTGAGAGCTCACATATCTTCTCAGTTTAATCTTTCTACGCCAAGCTCGTGGATGAGAAATTCGTTGAGCGAGAGGATTTCTCGTGTTAGCCAAATTAAAAATGGATTATTTGGACTTCTCTTAATGTGTGTTACTTCTTATGGTCGGCGTGTTACGAAATATATCCATGTTGGACAACTTATGGGAAAAGGATGGAGGCTTACAAACAGGTGTTAGTCTTTATTCTTCAGATCAGGAATCAATCGAATGCATATTTTTCCTCCGAGAGTTTTCTTACCACGATATGGAGTGCGTTTAAGATTAGTTACATGTACAAAGTTTCATATGTAATTTCGACATTTGTATGTGTTGGACTGCCTTTCGTGTGAGTCATTTATGATGCGTTTAAGATTAGTTATATGTACACTAGTTTTTTGGCCCGCACTTTCGCTATGATAAGAAAATAATTATATTTAAAATTTATCAACTTATTCAATGATTTACTTGAAATCAAATATTAAAAAAAACATTCACATAAGATACTTTCATAAGCTACACGTAGTGTCTTAATCGTTATAAACCATTTACGTAATATGACTGTTTAATTAACATATAAGAATAATCATACATTCATAAGTTTTAAGTAGTGTCCTTTTTTTTTTGCATAATTATAGATGAATTATGTAATATGTTTGTTTAATATTGATATGTATGAAAAAACTCTCCCTCCCCATAAGGTTTAACGTTTTTACTTATGATTTACCTAACTATTATTATAGAGCGGTCTTACATTAATATCCTAGAATCTGTGGTGTACTAATAAAATCAAATTAAGAAAAGTATGACATTTTATTAAACTTTTATGTAGAGGTTAACTCACCTTAATGAACTTTTGCGTAATACAAATTGATGAAATTATTATTATTTGAGTGAGTTAATAATAATGAAATTAGGGTATAAAAAGTATAATATTTGTCTAATTGAGTATCCCATTATAAGCACTAGCCAGTCTCTTAATCATTATAAAATAACTAAATCATACATTTTTTAATTGATATATAATAAGTTATTATCCTTCCATAATATTTACACATGTATTTGTAATTCAAGTAACTATTACAGAATGATATTAATAACCAAATCAAGTTATGAAAGTATAATGATTTATTGAATTGTTATGTTTAAGTTAACCCACCTTATAAATATTTTAATAATGCATATTGGGTGAGATGTTAACATTTTAGTTAATGTGAAAGAATTAGGTTACGAAGAAGTATCACATTTGATTAAACTGTTATATAAGAGATAACTGATTTTACATAACCTTTGTGTAGTGTAAGTTGATTATAAGGTCAATAGTTTAGTTAGTAATAATTGAATTTTGATTCAAACTTATATTACGAAAGACATACATAATATGTTTGTTTAACTAATACATAAGAAATGATTATCACTCCAAAACTTTTATGAAGTGTCCTGAGTCCTGACCATTAGGAAAGACTTATGTAATACATTTGTTTAATTGATACATAAGGAATATTTATCCTCCGTAAAATTTATGTAATGTATTTGTAATTTACATGGCTTCTCTAAAACGATTTTGCATAAATCTTCCATAACTTTTGGTTTAATAGTAAAACCAAGTTAACCAACCTTGCGAAACCTTTGGATAATGTTTATTGATGTGATTGTGGGTGCTTTAGTTAATAATAAAATAACCGTAGTTAATAATTAAGAAACTAAGTTACAAAAAGTATCACATTTGATTAATATTGGTTATAGGAGAAAAAATACTTACGTTGAAATTGGGTATAGATGATAAAATATCGGGTTAATTGCAAGTTTGGTCACTGAGTTTACTAAAAAGTTTACTAATTCGAGTGACCAACATTGAAATTAAATATTTCGAGTGACTAAACATGACACTTTTTAGTAAACTCAGTGACCAAACTTACAATTAACCCATAAAATATCATATGAATAGTATCCAGTGAGAAGGGGAAGCTTACGGTAAAATTGGTATATGAGATAAAACCACATATACAATGACTGTTGTCCGTTGGGGAAAATTTTTAATACTATTCCTACGTTTTTCGTAATGAATCGTGAAATATATTTGGGCACTTAAATTCAATAGGGTTAATATATTTGTATGGTCCGAACTTTTTATATATTAAATATCTTGGTCAATATTTTTTATCTATAATTTCGTGGTCTCAACTATGCATCAAAGTTACGAAATTGGCAAAACTCGAGACTTGACCGTTATCTTGGTCGGTCAACGCTCCATGTCACTGTCAAGTCAGCACAAACCACATAAAAATTCTATTTTTTTCCACCTATTACCATTTAATTTTTTATTAAATTTTTTCTTTTCCTTTTTTCTTTTTCTTTTGTTCAAAATAAATAAAAAAGATAAATGGTAATAGGTGGAAAAAACCAAAAATTTAAGTGGTTTGTGATTACTTGACAGTGACATTGCGCGTTGACCGTTAGTCAATGCATTTGACCGTCCAATATAATGGTAAAAAATCTCGAGTTTGGCCAATTTCGTAACTTTGATGTATAGTTGAGGCCACGAAATTATAGATTGAAAACATTGGTCAGGATGTTTAATATGTGAAAAGTTCAGGACATACAAATATGTTAATCCAATTTAAGAAAGCCTTTCAATAACCCAGTGCATTGTCAATAATAATAATAATAATAATAATAATAATAATAATAATAAACCTTCTACATTGAAAAATGCTTGTGCTTTTAATTATATAATAATAATCTTATAGTTTCATATGTAATTCCGACAATTGAGTGTGCTGAGCTGCCTTCGTGCGAATTCATGTATTTACACTTGGTAGTTTGTACCTTTCCATCCTGTAAATTTTCTTTCTCCTTTGATATAATTTCATCCTTCATAAAAAGACGTTATAAAGTCAATTATTAGAGTTTATTTACATATTATGGTGCACAATATCCACTTTATTTTAATGATAGGTTACTATGCATTTATATGTAGTGATAATTTTCGAATTAGTTGTAATCCTCAGTTAATTATCTCGTGATAATAGACAATGCTTGCATTAGTCCAAGCATGTGCATGGAATAGACTCGTTATATGAAAATGTATACCAATACGTAAAAACCGGTCTTTGTGATCTACTTCTTTCTTCTTTTTTTCCCCCCTCAGAAGTCAGAAGTCTTTGTGGTCATCTTTGGAAGGAAACACTTCATATATAATTTCAGACATTAGGAAGAGTAGGGTTTGGTTTAATTTCAGACATTAGAGGATTTATCCATATCCATCCTTTCATCCATAGACAGTCAGTTAACATTACATGTAGCTGCTAGTCACTTAAAAATAAAGCATACCATACGATCTTATATCTTAAGTTCACCCTTCTTGCTTGCTAGACCAACAAAACAGTAAAAAAGATGAAGCAGAAACTAAGTAGATCGAAGTGACGGTTGCCAGCCGGCGGCCATTACTACTTCATTCTCGACTTGATCATCATCATCATCATCATGCATGATCAGTAATTAGGAGCACCGGCAAGGCCGACATTGGCTGAACCGAAGAACCCATCTTTCATTAGAACATGATGCTGCTGATGATCTTCCGCCTCCTACACAAACAACATTAATTAATAAACAATGGCGGATTGATCAACAAGATGGTAATGCTTAAGTGCTGGGTTAATGTGGTCTTAATTAATGGGATAGAATGTTGTATAACATAGTTACCTGAGTGTGGTGGAGGAGGGTAGTGTTAGTCGTCTTCTTCAAGGGCTGATCAGGCATCAGACCAAAGTGAATGTGGGGGAAATGAGCCCACTGTCCAAGTACAAAAACAAATATGTCCAGAAAACTAATCAGAACAAATTTTAAAGGAAACCCTAGCTAGAAGAACCACTTGTTGACAATTGGTGAGAAATGATGAACAGTGTTGGATCCATCTTACATTCTTAGCAGCAGCACTGAAAGCTTCTCTGTGGCTGATATCAGGGTTCTCTGCCTTGATCCGCTGAATCTCCTCCCTACAGTAGTCATTAACAAACAACTGATATATTTTCCTCATCCACCCTTCCACAACAACAATAACTTTTCACTCACTGTAACTCTTGATATTTGAAATCAAAATAACAGTGATCAACTCTTGTACATTTACTGTGGACATGATATGATATGATGTGTTATACTCACTTGATGAATCGGTTGTAGGCAGATGGGACTCTCTGTCTCTTCTCAGGAGCTGTAATAATAACAACAACCACCACCAAAAAGGGTAAAACTAATCAATTCTTCTTATATATTTGTTCTTGGAAAAAGTTTTCGAAAAGAAATCAACTTGTTTCTGTCTGCGCTGGTTTGTTTGTCTTTTCTTCTGGATGGTGGTGCTGGTTTCTTCACCACCAGCCACTGTCACTTCACTGCGTGCCATTTTTTTTTAACTCTCTCTTCCCCAAAAGATTCTGATTGTATACATATCTAGCTAAGGCTACGTACAATATTTGCGGGAGCTCAAATAATGGAAGGTAAAACCAAAGAAAATAAAATCTCAACGAGACAGTACAATCATTGGCTACTTGATTACTTTTTTTCCTTTCCTTTCCCCCGGCCGGCCAGCCGGTCCAAACAATTTCTCTCTACAATTCCGGGCGATCAAGGCAAACCCTAAACATAAACATTAACTAAAACTAATTATTAAGTAATACGTGTGTTACTTTGCTATAAAAAAAGCAGCTGCTAATTTCGGGCACGGATCCAATATCATCGGCGTGCAATTTCCGAGCAGCTTTTTTTTTCATGCTCAGCAACAGTGCTATCATGCACTAGCTAGCTAGGGTTTCTTTTGATGAATCAAAGAAAGACGTTGCTTCAAAAATGGATCGTTGTGAGAGGAATTTATTAACGCAACCAGCTAGCTGTAACCCTAGATCTGGTATTTATGAAACGTTTTTTTTTGTTTCTTCTTCTAAGGGAGAGGTTCTTACGTCTATTAACGACCAATGGCGGCGGCCTCGAGAGCTCATCCGACGACACCTGCAGTCCTCCTCCTCTCCCCGAATTGAAGCCGAAGTAGTCATTGTTGTTGATAGGAGAATTCAGCTGGTGGTGGTTGAACATCAGCAAGTTTGCCGGCGGCGGCGGCGATGGAGTGGTGGCAGCACTTTGGTTTTGGATCTCATCCTGAAAAAAGCGAAAACCCACAAACTTGAATGGGGAAGATAATGGAAACATGGAGAGAAGAGCTGTATAAAAATTTTTCAGGGTTGGTGATGGTCTGATTATATTAGTGAACAAAGAAGGCAAAGCCCTAGAAATTTAAGCAGGTAGTGATATACACGTACGAAAAGGAGGTTGCTGCTGTGAGAGGAAGCAGTAGTAGTGGTAGGGGAGAAGAAGGGGTGGGGGAAGTTGAACGGAGACGGTGCGGCGGCGGAGGGAGAAGTGGGCGGCGGCGGGAGCTGGATGAGGCCACGCATGTTGACCGGGAGGAGATGGGTGCAGTGGCCGCAACGAACCGTCACCGTTTTGAACAAGCTCGCGCTCGGAACGCTCACCTACAAAAAAAATTCAATTTCATCAACTTTCAAGTATTGGTCTGGAAAAAGAGATTAATATATGAAAGGAAACAAAGCAAAGGAACGGACGGCGAGGACGGTGTCACAAATGTTGCAGTGAACGTAGCAGAGCTGCTCGGAGTTGGAGGAAGGAGGAGGGATCTGCTGGTTTTGGTGGTACTGTTGGTCTAAGGACAAGGTTGGAGCTGCGGCTGCGGACATGGTCGACATTGACATATCTGAGATTTGAGGCTTTTTCTTGTTTGGTTGGCTGGCCGGCCGCTTTTCTTGTCGAATGATTTGGGTGATGATGGTGTCTGTCTCCTGAATGAAAAGAACAGGCCGTGACTTGGATGATGGTGATGATCACCCTTTGATTGATTGATGTTTTTTCAGTTAGACTGATGGTTTTTATATATGTAGGGAGGGAGAGAGGTCAGTTTTATTTTTATAACCCCACCCACCACCCTCACTGCCTTCTTGGATCTCTCTCTCTCTCTCTTTTTTCTTTTTTTCTTTTTGGGGTTTCAACTTTTCTTTTGTGTGGAAGGTGGAAGGAAAGTGATAAACTTGGATGCTTGCCCTTAGGGATGGCAACAAAACCCGAACCCACGGGTACCCACCCGACCCAACCCGGTCAACGCGGGTAAAATCCGTGTTGACGGGTTTTGGGCCGGGTTTGGGTTTAAACCCGCTCACTATTCACCGGGTCGGGTTGGGTTTGGGTTTAGGTAAACCCGACCCGTGGGTACCCGCCCACCCATATAATTAATTTTTTTGGTACATTTAATATTCTAAACAACTAATCTTATTTATGTTTGTGGAGACATGTTTAATTTTTTCTTTTTAATTGTGTAGAATGAAGTTGATGTTATGGAGTGGAGAGTAAAGAAACTTAATTGAAAGGAAGAAGTTTTCAATTAAACATGTTATTTATGGATAATTTGTGATTTGCTTCAATTTTCTTGAGTTTTCTAGATTGGTGTTGAATAATTTGTATACTTAATTTGTGATTTACTTGAATTTTCTAGAATGGTGTTTTATATATATGTATAATTTGTATTGAGAGATTTATATTTGACTTTAATTTTGATAAGAACTTGTAATTGTAAATTTTTTACGACAAAACCCGTGGGTACCCATGAACCCGCGGATACCCAACGGGTTGGGTTGGGTTTGAGTTTTTCAAACCCAGTGGGTTTTACCCCGGGTTTTTTTCAAAGATAAACCCATGGGTTTGGGTTTGGGTTTGACAAAACCCGACCCAAACCGACCCATTGCCATCCCTACTTGCCCTCCTCCTCCCTACTGTCCTGCATGTGTACATACAGCCGACACGGCGACACTCCGCCAAATTAATTACCAGCTAGCCCTTCTCTCTCCCTCCCTCCATGTCTCTCTTTTGCCCTTGTCTCGCTTTTAAGAGCCAACTTATAATACGTTAGTGCATATCCATAGTCCATAGATGCATACGAATCAGATTATTATGGTGATCAGCCTGTGTTGACTCTTCATTTGATGGTAAGTGTGACGGTAACTTTGTGAATTCGTATCAGCAGTGTACACTATTCCATAAATGAGAATGGGCAAAAGCAATCCAACAATGTTATGTTAGGATGTACCGACTATGTATCCATTATAGTCTTCTGCTAATTAACACCGTTTGAATTAATCATCTCTATGAATGTAGGATTGTTAATTAAACGGTTGTTTTGTTTGCAGAGTAACCGATAATCGAATCGTAACCGGTGTTTGACATTTACACCGATAACCAATTTGACAGTTTATGATCGGTTATCGATAGCCAAATTTAGCTAGTTACTAACCGATGGTTAACCGAGTAACTAATTATCGTCATTCTCACGGTTATGGCGCCAAAAATACACAGGCCTCGATGAGTCGCAAACATATAGGCTGAAAATAAATTGAAATTTGAAGGTCTACAAGATCTCTTGTCTACCCTATATATAGTTGTAATAATGGTTTAAGTTCAAATGAGAATAAATCCGAGGAAGGGCTGTACAATGAGCACAATAGAAAGATGGAGTTGGGCATAATAGCTCTGCCACAATGAGCAACAATTAAGCTTCCTTGTTATTTGGTGGAGTTTATGAGTTGAGTAATGGTTGTTGTTCTCTTGTTCTTGTATGCTTCTTTAATATGGTAGAATGCTTCTTTAATATGTTAAATTATTTCTTTATTCAATGATAAAGCTTAAAAAAACACATACGTATGCAGGTGAAAAAAAAATTCTAAAAAAATGCCCGATTGATAAAAAGGTCGAGGTTTTCTGGAGATGAGGTTACTGATAGATTATTTTGGTCTGACCTTGCCGAATCACTTGCTTAACAATTATCCGGTCAACGGATAAAATAACCGATAACCGACTGTACAATTACGATAAATTGACTAATATAAACAATGTAGTTAATGAAAAGTACAACATAACAGCTAACCACGATAATCAACTAAACGGTTACGATTATAACCGAACCGACTAACAACCCCCCTATATTGATGCATACAAGTATGTTGACATTAATGGTAAGTGTAGGGTTTGGTATGTGTGTGAGGGTAACTAGGTAATTAACAAAAGGGAGATGATATGGAATGTGAGTGGGCATCATCCCCAATGGAAAGAGGGAAGGGGGTTGGGTGGCGGCAGATGATGAAGGTGTGGTGGGAAAGGGACGTGTGCATGGGTCGATCGGGGCCGGGGGTTTGTGGGGTTCGCTGCTTTTTCCCTCACCTGTTACTTTCACTACACTACCAGCTACGATAACCCTACTTATTAATTAACTCTCCTCCTCCAGAGCCATACCAGAACCAGATCCACACCCCTTCTTTCCTGCATCCTGCTTTCTGCCTACATTTGTACTTGTGCGCATGGCCTCTTCTGGTCTCTTCTTTTATGTGCAACAAAAAAATACTAATAATAAAAGGTAGATATAAACACTAGATACCAATGTAATTAAAATACCTACTCACCTCATTATGGGTGGTTAATTACAAAACACTTACATAATGGAACATCAATCGTATCATTTTACCCTACCGTAGCAGTACTCGATCAGGTCAGACATGCCAAATATCAAACTCAAATTAGTAGGTGGTGTTAGCGATAAGAAATGCATTTTATACGCAATCGTAACAAGACATAGACCAAAATAGATCGCCAATCATGTTTCAATTGACTCGGATCGGATCAAAATCGATTTGTTTGCGTTTGATACTCAAAGCCCTCTTAAGATGGTTTTCAAAGTAGAAAGAAAAAAAAGGACGGAACTAATCATCACTTGCAAAGCATTTTGGATCGCACTAGACTTACTCAGTCCTAGTGCGAACTCACTTTATGAGAAAATCTTACTGGTGATATTTGGTTAGAAGGTTGGCGATTAAACCATTACAGTTACCTATGACCGATGGTTATAGACTATACCATTCACTGATCATAAGTTAGCAGTGCGGTCGAATGTAGGTTAAACTGGCTTACAATATAATCGATAATCAAATAGCCGCTTAACGGTTAATCACAAGTAAGTGAATATAAATATCTAAGTTTTCTCCCCCAATACGAACATTTGCTTTTCCAAACAACTGTCAAACTTCGAACAAACAATCTTCTTTCTGCCTTGGCCCTCTCCTTCTTTCCCGAATTTTCTGCCAATGTGAGCTCTAAAATTGAAAGAGGCAAAGAGCATCATCGATTTTGTGATCGAAATGCAGACATCAAAATTGGATTAGGAAGATCAGATGACTTCTATTAGAAGAAAGATTGCAAAGACCACAACAATTTCTCCCATCAAGGACTTTCCTCACCCAATTTGAGCTCATCTCTTATCCTTCCTCTCTACAATTTTTTTTTGTTAGTCCAAATCAATGATGTATTAAAAAAATAGAACACATATGTAGGGAAAAATCTACAAACCACAATTCAAAAAAGAAAAAAGGGTCTTATATTGGTTCGGTTACCGATCAATTATTCTGGTCTAATATATGTCGAACCACTTGTTAAACAGTTAATCAGCTAACCAACATAATAATCGGTAACCAACTATATGGATATGACTAACATACTAATAAAAATAATGCGATTAAAGGTAAGCAAAACAAAAAATTACCTAATGATTAACAGATAACCAAATAAACCGTTATGATTATAACCGAACCTACTAACGACTCTAAGAATATCGACAATTTGTTTCTTGATGCTAAGTGCTGAACTCGGGCTAAGTGACCAAATAAATTTTAGTGTAGTGAAACCAAAATGATAAAACTTCTAAAGGAACTATATAGGGTTTAGCCTGTGAGATTGGAATCCTCAAGTAAAATCGTTAGGTTCCTAGCTTTCCGAAAGCCAACAACAAAAGCAGGCAGGAACAAGGATGGCTTCGAGTTTCTTTGTCCTAAATTTCCGAACCCTAGCAAAACCCGCAATGCCATTTCTGTGTCCCCCGGACAACAACCCCTCTCTCTCTCTATATACGTGCATTCAATAAGTCCCACAAAACCCTAGCTTTTTCTTACAAATATATTTGACATGAAAGCATACAACAAGAAAAAACTATAATGAGTCGTTTTCTGCGTTAGATTACACTGACTACACAGATCATGATGCCCTAATGATATCTCATGACAATGAAGGGAAGCCTTTGGGTTCAAGGGTCCCGCGTTCCTCCTCTCTCAAGGCGATGTTCTTTTTTTTTTATCGCAATTTCCTCCTAGCTGTGGGCTACCAGACACAGCCAATATATTATATATCAAACACATACTCAAGATTGATTTGCTGTTGGAGTGTGTGTGTGATTTGACCTCTCATTCCCTCTTCTGTTATGTCTTGCAGACCGACAGACACACAAACATTTATTTCAAGTCAGTACCACACCACTCCACTCCACCACTAGAGAGAGAGAGAGAGAGAGAGAGAGAAGCTTAGCCAGCATGTGTGTGATCAGAGGGTCTTTGCGCAATTTTGCATGCCTTGTTTCGTTTGCAGGCTTCTCACCACCTTTGTCCTTTCCCCATAGCTTTTCTCCCCTTTTCCATTATAGCTTCACTTCTTCGCTTTCCTGGCTTTATGCGTTGGCTGGTTTTAGTTCTTAGGGGATCTTTGACATGGTTTCGTCCATCCCTAGCTAGGGCTTCTCTTTTGCTACTAAATTTTGTAACAAAAGCTACGTTAACCGTACCCTAGCTATCTAGCTGTAGATCACATATGGTGAGAAAAGATGGATGCTCATTCTCATGTTCGAACCCCTCCTTACCCTGAAGGGGAAGTCAAGGATAGTGAAAAGGGGTTAAGTATAATGAATTGGTAAGGGAAAGTCTTCTGAGAAAATTTGCTAGCCTTTTGAGTAGTCTACGGGAAAAGTCTAACTATATATATATTTCAACTTTGCCAATGACACCTTTGTCACTACTTTCACCCCTCTATACTCTTCCATTGGGTGCTATTGTTCAATATTATAGATGATTTTCATCTCTTTCAACAACAACTACGAAAAACTACGGATCAACTACTTTAGCTTTTATTATATCGGAGAACAAATAATTAATTGATCATCTAAACTTGTGTAGGTGTACCTGTATTGTGATTAACGGTTCGTTTGGATGATTGAATTTGAATATGGTTCCCATTATACTTAATTTTCACTTGATAATGGAGTGCCGAACAATTTATTGTTCGGTTAAACATTTAGAGGATGAAGGGCACTTAGTAAGATGGAATTGAACTCCATTCAATTTGAGAATCTAAATTATCAAAACGCGTATAAAATTCTTTTCAAACTTATTTTTTTATCGATTGAGTTACTGAGACAATTGCCCCTTGATTTTATAAGTATAATTCTTCGATGTAAACTTCTTGTGATAAATTTAATCCTTCTAAGTAACTCAAGTAATAAGGGAGTTACCCTTGCGGACTGTTTCCCAAGATGCGCGACTGCTGCTGCAAATCCCTGTGCAAGATTATCAGATATCCTTTTTAGAACTAATGGGTGTTTATCTTGAGATATTTCCTTTAAATTCCATTTAAGGGGGGTGCCGAGAGGGAAAGGGAGAGGCTTTTTACTCTTATCAACAACCATTTACCTTTGTTAACAGCAGGTCATGACAAGATCACCTGGTTACCGACTGCGTCGCATGTCTTTACCGTGCATTCCTTGTATCAAGAACTTACTCATGATGATGACAGGATTCGTGCAGTTGGGGATCAGGGAGGCGATTTCCCGTATAAGTCAGTTTGGTTAAGTCATGTCCCATCCAAAGTTTGCTTGTTTGTTTGGCTGACTTTCCATGGGAAGATACTTACACAGGACGCGTTAAAACGGAGAGGGTGGAATCTGAACAACAGGTGTCCATT